ATCGCAACGATTGTTTAATATTTTGCAAATATGCTCGATGGTTAACGGTCTATATTCTATTTTAAAATACCAATCAAACAGCAAATCTAGAGTATCAATATTTTAACTATCAACAATTTGATATGGATTCGGGCCTAGATACTGTACAAGGACGGTGAACGTAACGTGTACGCCTGTCAGTCACGATCAGGTATAGCCTAGCCCTATATTGCCTAGTATTGTTAGGAAGCTCCGGGCCTTACAGGCGACCTAGCATGGACGTTTGTTGCGAATGTTTTTCCGTTTAGCCTAGAGTTGCGCACCTCTCTGTGGTTATCGTAATACTGTTGGCAGATATAACTCGCTAGGACTGTTAATCAAGTATCCAAAATATTATTTAAAAAAATAAAATTGTATTAGGCCCTTATGCCTGTGTTCACTGTTAAACATACTTGTGACAGTAGGCCTTCAGTATATGTGGGATGGTGTTTTTATGCAGGGAGGTGGTAGTTTATGTTGCTGTAGTATTGTACTCCTCTCCTGTACGCCATTTTATTGTTATTTATTGAATTTATGATGTAACAATTAACAAGGAAAAAAAATAAATGCTTGCGGTACACCATGTATGTTCTCTAGTTCTAAAAGAATATTAGGTGCAGCCCTCGATGTTAAATAAAAAATATACTGTGGCACTTCGTCCAACACCAAACATGAATGAAATGCAAGGAAAAGAGTTACAATTGATCGTTGATTAATTTATATTTTATGTGTGTGTGGTAAAAAACAATAAAACAAAGAAACAAACAATACATTATATTTTCTAAACCAGTTATATTTATTAATAATTCGGTCTTTTTCTTAACAGCACTTTCAGTGACGCAGCACTGGTTTCACGAGTGGATTAAATAAACTAAAAAATGAAAGAAAAGTAAATCGGAATGAAAAGAACTAATTTAATTTGGATCAGGCAAGAAAACATAACTTTGCAGTGGAAATGATAAAACATATGACAGTCTGGGTTTTGATTAAGTTTTTAAAGGTTGAAGAATCATTACAATTTATTATAAATTACATCTAATCTTATTTTGATTGAGAAGGTGACGAGAAAGCAGCACAATTATGGAATAAAAATGATGAGCTGTAGAGTCAAACTCTCACTCTTTCATCTCTGCCCATTTTCAGCTTCCTTAGAAAATTTACTGGTCTTCATTTTCTGACTTTAACCTGAAGCAGATTTTTAAAAAAAACAATTATCCGTAGGTGATTTATATAAGCTAAAAACTTATTGTGGTTGATTGGGCTCAATTTCAACTGTATGCATCATCACTAAATTGCTATCACAACAAATAAAAAATAAGAAGAATACATGTGACAGATGAGACAACCTTACTTGAGCAGGCCAACTAAGATAAGGGCTTAGGCTTAATAATAATAAAATATTAATTAAATTATTTACGTTTTAATAATAAAAATGTACGCCTCCAGGCTTAATATGCAGTTAGGAGGATAGCTCAATACAAACACGAGTATGACGACATAGCTAGGCCAAGGTCTACTTCCGGGTTTACCGACGATCACCGGATTTTGCGCGAGTCCGACGCAAAATATAGGTTCAGTAATGGGAGAGTATCTCTGATAGCCACAGTTGCTCGCTCAAAAGACTTAGGGCATTTGTAAGTCAAATATTAATCTTTTACTACATCGAAACCGCAATGACGATCAATTGTGGCTTTTGATAATATAGTCTAGAAAAGTAAGTAATTTGGCACAATGCCAGTACACATAGGCCTACTTACAAAAAAATGACTTATAATTGTTTGCTTAGTTAAATCTCACTTTAGAGTTTGACACATATTAGCTCAACCCGCCCTCGATAAACTAACGTTACGTTACTATATTAATTGGATTAACACATTATCAAGGAAAAGTACTGATTGTTTAACACTGGTGTCCTATGATTCAATTATGGGTAAACGAATTAGTTGCCTTTTTTATGAGGTTTTAATTGTTCTTTACCGCCGAAAGTGTGGTATTCTAACGTTAGTTTAAGGAGGGCTGGTCGGCCTAATAAACGCTTCTAAAACATATGTAAACTGCTTTTAAACCAGTCGTTATGTATTAAGTTGCTGTATATTTGTAAAAAAAAACAAAAAACCCAAAAGAGTTTAAAAAAAAACGACTGTTTTGAATTCTAAGAGAAATTTTCTGACGTTGGTGTGTGATATTTTCATCTTTTTCGCTTGACTGTCGGTACCGCGCGTTAGGATAGCACGCCTTAGTAGTTCGAGATCATTCCATGTACTGTAATGTCCTGATAATACTAAGCTATTGTAGTTCCTATTCTCTGTTTGTGCTCTGCATGCAACAGACATGGGGGGGGGGTCATCCGGGAAATTAAGTTAAACGATCACAACTTTAATTTTTAATTTGTATTTTGTGATTTGTAATTTTTGATTAATAACATAGGAATACTATGGCCTTTGTTTTGGAACAATTTGTTGCTTCGCACTCCTTAGATGTTTTAGAAAAGTGTAAGAGGGTAGAACTTTTAGATATAAAGCAAAACACATTGAGTTTGCAAATACTTATGCTAAGCAGAAGCAGGAGTTTCGGGCGACTATTATCGAGCACTTAGTTGATGAGGATATTTTTGAAGAAAATGCTCTAGGACTTATTGCACCAGTTAATGCTAGCTATTGGCAACTTAAAGAATTGGAATTAAAATTCAAAATGGAACTAGAGATGGAGAAGGAAAAAATTATTTAGAGCTAGACAAAGAAAGAAAAAAAAGATTTGGCTCGAGCTAGAGGAAGAAAAGCTTCATAATGAATTTGACAAAGAATTAGAGCTAAAATCTCAGGCTAAAACTGATGTACATACTCCTAAATTTGATGTTAACAAAAATCTCCGCCTTGTATCTCCTTTTAAGAAGGATGATGTTGATAAATTTTACCTTAATTTTGAAAAAAAAAATCTCCCAAAGTATGAATTGGCCAGAAGATAAACTGACACTCCTTTTGCGGAGTGTACTTTTTGGGAAGGCAAGGGACGTTTACTCTGCCCTTTCTGTCAGCCAAATTGCTGACTATAGATTAGTAAAAAAGTCCATCCTTAATGTCTACAAACTCGTTCCTGAGGCATATCGCCAAAGATTTCGGAACTTCCGAATAAATGTGGGACAGACTCATGCAGAGTTTGCCAGGACAAAGGAGGAATTATTTAATAGGTGGTGTGATTCTAAAGATGCACAAACCTTTGTTACACTAACAAAGCTTGAAGAGTTTAAATCTTGTATACATCCTAATATTCGTACTCACTTGGATGAGCGTATAGATAAACTCATTAGAAGAGCCTGCTAGAGCAGCTGATGATTATTACGGAAGCACCTAAGTGCCATTCGACTTGACGACTTGTCAAGATAATTTATGTTGTCAAGTCGACATAATATACATATCATGTCGACATGGCGAGATAGATTATCTTGACAAGTCGACATAGTAAAAATTGTATGTTGTCATGGCGAGATAGATTATTTTAACAAGTCGACATAATACATATTTATTGTTGTCATGGCGAGATAGATTATCTTGACAAGTCGACATAATATAAGTTGTATGTTGTCATGGCAAGATAGGTTATCTTGACACGTCGACATAATAAAAATTGTATGTTGTCATGGCGAGATAGATTATCTTGACAAGTCGACATATTAAAAATTGTATGTTGTCATGGCGAGATAGATTATCTTGACAAGTCGACATAGTAAAAATTGTATGTTGTCATGGCGAGATAGATTATCTTGACAAGTCGACATAGTAAAAATTGTATGTTGTCATGGAGAGATAGATTATCTTGACAAGTCGACATAATAAAAGTTGTATGTTGTCATGGCGAGATAGATTATCTTGACAAGTCGACATAATACAAATTGTATCTTGTCATGGCGAGATAGATTATAACCTATCTCGCCATGACAACATAACATTTTTACTATGTCGACTTGTCAAGATATCTAACAAATTGTACATTTACATTCATATTGTACATTTACACGTACTTCCAGGTAAGACATTTGTTTTAGTTTGTTTTCTAAACGTTAATTATTCTTTATTTCATATAAAGAGATTTTGGAAATCACTTAAGGTCCGATTCAATTTCGAATTATGAAAAGTGTAGGCTATGGCACCGAGACCTCTGACGATTAGTGCCCAAAATTGTTTACAAAAACGTAATGCAATAATAGCATATTGACTACTATTGTATATTTTCGGAAAATATTTCAGCCGCTCCAAATCTCTTTCCTATTCTTCCTTCTTCCTTTATTCTTTCACAATTTTGCGTTTTTTTTTTCTTCATATTTTTCATAGTTTTATACACTCACATATTCATTTTTTTAGGACTGGTCTAGGCTAGACCTCGGCTATCAGTGCCTATTACTATATTATTTAAATATACAATTTTAATAGATAACATGGACATAGTAATTCATACTTAAACAATACATTAAATGTTTATATTGATATGGTAACGTTAACGAATAAATAACAATAACTAAACCGTGTACATAGTGTATCACTACTGCAATAATAAGATTAACATTTTCAATCTTATAATAAATTTTATACAGCCGGTGTTATGAATTGACCTAGGTTACTATAGCTAATGACAGGTACGCTTTCACCATTAAAGGCTTTTTCTATGAATGGAATGACCTGTACGAAACACGAGCTCCTGTAGACCAAACCCAGTACCGTTACGATTTTAATCGTACGGGAAATATCCTCAAGTCTGCAGGTATATTTAAAATATAAAAATATGTTACCCAATCATATATGCCCACTCAGAGTAAAACTATATAATCGATATAACCAACATGTTTGTAACCTTTGTAAATAATATTGATAAAATGCATATTATGAGTATAGCTGCAGTTAATGTACAGTTATTAATTATGCAAATACATCCGCTATACAATTTGATACAATTATTATTTAAATGTCACGCTTCTGAATTAATTACAGGTGTGCTTACAGATTGGCAACACACTTAAAACGTTAAAAGAAATGATGCGAAAGGTAAATTTTGTATATATTATTATATATTATTGCCTAAAGAAACATGCATTATCAGAGTATATCCCTCCTGTAAGTGACGAATTAAATTTTGCTGTTGTTGTTTGTTGAAATAAAAAAAATTTTTTGTAGAAAAAAAAAAAAAAAAAAAAAAAAAAAAAAAAAAACAGAATCTTTTAATATTCCTGTATCATCACTCTTAATGATTATCATCGTCATCGTTATTATCGTCATTATTGTTTAATTAGGCCTATATAAGTTTTTGTTTTGATTATTTTCATCTATCTGTTTCCTGTGTTTTGCACAGCAGCATTTTTTTTTTTTGTCCTGAACTTTCCGTGCTTTGTCTAAGAAAAGACCGTATATCAAAAATGTGCATATAAAATATGACGTCATTCGCCTTATTAGTAACGGGAAATTATGTGAACGCTATTTTATGAAGCATTTCAAACTAGCTACAGCTTTTTTAAATCCACAATTACATTGAAATGCATGAACTCGACTTATAACATTACGCAAGGTAGACAAACTAAAAATACTCCGCGGTCGGTTTTTTTTTCTCTGTTAATGGTAGGAACTAGCTTCCAACATCACAATCGCTTTTAACACTGCAGCCATATTTCCAGTCTCACCGACGTCGAGTTGGTTTTCATGTTTACTTTTTTGTCAACATTTTCTTTACTATAGTTTTATTTTTGTTTTTTATGTATTGTTTATTTTATACTTTTTAAAATAAAATGTATTTTTCTTTTGAAATGTTAACATCACTTGTCATTATGCCAATTGAGAAAAACCGTAAAAACATAGTATGTCTAGTTATTATTGCTAAATTCATCATCATCACCAACATCATCGTCGTCTTCGCCGTCATTATCATCATCATCCCTATTATCAGCAAGCTCACGGTGTATCGACATCACATAAGTAGCTAGTGTGCATTGATTAATTATTAATATGACATCGAACTTAAAATAGTCATACCTTTTCCAGTCCCCTGTAGCATTAGCATGGACTTATACAGTGATGCTTGTCTATACGCATTATATTTTATCGACACGTTATATTAATTTGATTAGACATCCTGTAAGGCACTTTTTATAACTCGCAGTCCTGAAACACTTTACTCAGATGTATGTACAATGATACCGGAGCTAAGTACTAGTAGTACTGTTAACGACCTACACTCAAGTGTGTAAGTATCAAGGTTTTGCCAACATTATTTTTGGAACATTAACATTAATATTGGAAAAAATGTGTAATATATATATATATATATATATATATATATATATATATATATATTATTTTTCAGCATTCCAACATTAAAAATGGTCATAGCTGCCGGTACCAACCACCAGAGGTGCGTATATTCTCGAATATACATTTTGAAAATTAAACATACTTATAGTCTCCATAATGTGCGCTCTCTATGTAGACCATTATTATTTTTATAATTATTATTATTATTATTTTTTTCAAATTATTATTATTATTATTGTTGTTGTTGTTATTGTTTATTACTTATTATTAATATTGTTATTATTATTATTATTATCCTTAATTTATTAAACGAACTTTCATTTTTCTTCAGTGGAACGATGTCTTTTGAGTGTATATCTGTACATGGATGTGAGGAGAAAGTTTGCGAAGAAGCTCATAAGATCACAATTGATGACATTAGTCATATTTGTATGACATCGGTAAATATTTTATTATTAAAGAGACCAATGATATTTTTAATTTTTTGCTTTTAATTTATCTCTGTCCTCTCTCTTTACCTAATATCTGGTTTATTTAGTTATATAATATGTGTTCATTGTTAATTATGAAGATTTGTTCTACTTTTTCAATATAATTGACATAATTTTTGCTAGTTTATATTCTAAAATATTGCCATTGCCAGTTCCACTGTCAATCCCAATCCTATTTTCAATATGGCCTTTGTATTTCTTTTATTCAATAATATTATTGTTGTTTATTTTTATAAGAACAGTTATTGTAAATAGCTTTCGAAATATAGCCTTAGTGTATTAATTGGGCTGAAGCGAGATAAGCATGAGAAATGATCTACAGTAATTAGCTCTTAATGTTGTTTGCAAACGTTTTAAACAGAAGTGTTTGAAATCACATTATGCAAATCTAGATTTTATTATACTAATTTGTTTTATCAATGTGTTAGGGTTCCACTGGAATACCAAAGCTAACACCATTTTCACATTTTCAAGCGATAAATGGAAGGCAGTTATTACAAACAGTTGTTGACAATCAGGTAGGAATGTTCTTATGCTAAAAATAATTAATTTATAAGTAGAAAATTATCCCCAGTTCCACTTTGTTTTTCCTCACTGTCACACGTGCTGTAGATGTTGCGTGATATTACATGAGTTCAAAGAGAAGAAACAGTTACTATGTACACATGACAAACTAAACACAAATCAAGATATAATGTTACGATTTCAACATATTTAATTAAACTGTAGTCATAAAATATAATGTTCAGATACAATATTTCTAAAATTAAAGATATAATGAAGAGTAGTACAGTACGAGACAGCGTCAAATCAGCTCAGCTTAGGCTTGTTTTTACAAGTTGAAATCAAATATATTATTTCCAAAGCACCTTATATTATGTAACGTCGGTACCATCTCAATAAACCACTTTGGTTACTTCACTCAACATCACACTACTATTGCCTATATCCAGGTCCCCAGTCAGTCGGCAATTAAATTCCCAGTTTCTTTTATACAAACTAACACAAAGCCTCCATTCCATTAGCTATTTCTGGCTCCTCAGGCCACACATCATTAGCATGCTTTACATCCTCTCTCATGTGGTCACACTTCAATAATATTGACTTATCACAGAGTGCCACATAATTTTAACTAATTAATATGCATTATAACTTCAGCTCATTAATATTCATTCATAGATACTCACAAATCCAGATACAGCTGGATACAGTGCACAATTAACACAATTAACTTATGCATATTCATTGTTTACCAGTAATTAACAATACTTCACTTTGTATTAACATGGTATATTTGTCTTGTGTAAGGGATTGTCACCTACAAGTAGGACACTGATATATATTCGCTATTGGCAATCCTTGGCGCATGTATTGTGTGCCTAAAGAAAGAATAATAATAATAATAATAATACACAATAACTTTCTTGCATTTACTTTACCTAAATTTGATGTAATGTCAAATAATAAAAATACTGTATTTTAATTCTAAACCAATAGCACAAGATAACATAGGTTGAAAAGAACCTCCACTGCAATATCTGGCACTCACTTTTTTGTCAAAGTGTATGTTTCCACTTTGAACTGGTGGTTTATTTTTCAAAATTTACATCTAATAACTTTTCGTTAAGATTGATCATTTTATAGGTAATATAGAAATTGTGTAATAAATGGCTCTGGCGGGACTCGAACCTGCGACCTCTCGCTCTCAAGGCGAGCGTCATACCATTAGACAACAGAGGCTTCATGGTTCAACAGATTCAAATACTTATTTCATATATTGATAAGAATATATATAAAATACGTCAAACATTTCTTTGTTGTTTGTCTCTGACACACACTATTCCTTATAAAAATGTATACATACATAAGCCTAACAGTATATACGGGAGGTATACACATTTTGAACTGACTTTTCGGCATTTTGAAAAAAAAAATAAATAAAACTTCGTGCCGTAATCATAATGACAATAAGCAGGAGAAAAACAAATTGCTTTCAATTTAAGATGTATATAAATATTCGATATTAATTTAGAAAATGATGACTGGCCGGGCAGAAGGATGGGAAAGAGAATGTTTATCCAGTACCCGACCGAGTTACATTTTCTTGCAATTCATATTGGCGGATCTGGGGGAGGGGGTCATTGGTCCTTACCCCTCTATTGGGCAACAAGAAAAGGGCAAACAGAAAAGAATTCTAGACCTACCTTTTAGGAACCCGTGAGCTGATTTCTTTTCTTTTTTTCTTTTTTTTTTTGCTAAAACACGCTTCAAATGTCGGGAAAGCTCAATTCCCGCCATCTAGGAATCAAAATTTTCCCAGGGGAGAACCCTCGGACCACCCTTTCTTTTGGGATTTATCGATTCATGGAAAAAAGAATACGCATGCAACTACTCATTTGTTTATGTACTGTATGTATACACACATAAAATAAAAAATGAGAAAAATTTACCTGACCTATTTCATGAGGGGAAAACCTTTAATTTTGAAGAGCTTTAAAAGACATTAAAAGACATTTTAGAAGTCAGGAAAGCTCATCTCCTGCCATCTAGAAATCGAAATTTTTCCGGGGGAACACGGACCCCCTTAATCTTTGGAGTTCATTGATTTATTGAATCATTTTCAAGGAGGGGGGGACCTTGAATTTTAAAGAATTTAAAAGTCATTAAAAGACACCACAGAATTGTCATTTCCCGCCACCTAGGAATCAAAATTTTCCCGGGGAAGAACCACCGGACCCTCCTTTCTTTTTGGAATTCATTTCATGGAAAGAATCGTATGCAACTACTCAATTTTTTTTAATGTAAGAACACACATAACAGGCCTATTTACAATAATGAGAAAGTTTACCTTACCGTTTTCATGAGGGGGAAAACCTAGAATTTTGAAGAACAGAGTCATTAGATACCTAGCTCAAAAGTCGAGAAAACTCCGGTTGGCTTGTTGGCCACTTTTTAAGAATTTTTACTATGAAAATTGTGTGCGACGGTCCATTTACCTTTTGTCGTAATAAATCACGACCGAATCACACTATATCTGATCATGTGTTACGTTATTGTGTACAGTGTATTGAGGGTGACGGTCAAGAGTGGGTGGGGCCTTAAAGTTAATTCTTAGCCCAGTAGACACAAATAAATTTCCGACACCAGCGGAAAAGGTCATTTCCCGCCATCTAGAAATCAAAATTTTCCCGGGGGAGTAATGTTGACCC